ATGTTTGGATCCATTTGCAATTGTAAAACTGGTAGTAACATTTTAACTTATGGCTACCGCCCTTAATTTTGAACAGATTAGTTCATTATTTACTTTCTTCAAACAGCTATGAGATATTTTTCTAAGCAATTTTAACTGCTTCGCCATTTCTGTGGCTTTTGGTTCTCTGGCAACTGCTAACTAAAGCGTTCTAAACCCTTAGCCTCCAAATTTTTACACAATTCTTTTGAACGATCGAGGATGGCCAAAGTTGTTGCGTAATTGCTTTGTCGGGGTTTAGAATACACTGCGAAACGAAGTCGTTTGTCACTTGACGTGGTGAATTTGGTAACCTTCAGGTGAAAAGTTTCTTTGCCATTACTTGAAAAATTCGGCGTTTGTTGGTTGTGCGGAGGAGCTTGCTGAAGGGCTCTGGTCGCTATTGAATAGTGAAGCCTTGAGGATAACAGTAGAAATATATTGTGATAGAAGTATCTGAACCGTAACAACAAAGACTAAGATATCTAATGGTACTGTAGCGGAACAACTGCAAAAGAATGGTTCAGTAAACAGGCCATGGAAGTAAGCAGGTATTTTAAAAATTAGATGCAAAGTAACTCCTCTCCTCTCCCCTTTTTAAAAAAGAGAAGAAACAGATTCAGATGAATACTAGTTTTCTAGACCTAAAATGACCGATATTGGATCACAGTTCGGTTTTTTTTCAAACCACGAAGCGGGTTGAACCTACTGCTGGACTTCTCCAGTTGAGGAAACGTTTTTCAAATGTTTATCAGTGCTGCTCTCAAGTTATCAATCACTTCATGTTTTTCGGTAAGACCATTGCTGAACTTCTCAAGGCTATCAGCTGCGACTGAGTGACCGGAAATTATAGATATTATAGTCAGGAATAGTGCTCTCCAGTTTTTCCAAAGTAATGTAAAACACTATGATCCAGAAAACTATCAGAAAATTTATTGTAATAGAGAATAGAAATTTCACGACGTCGCTAATGTTAATCTGGCAGCGACTCGGACGCTGACTATATGCATCTTTTAAAGGTTTTATTTGTTGGAAAACGTTTAAACGTACAAACTAGTTATGTTTTCTATACTACATTTAGAGATCCAGCATTTCAATTACAATAAATTTGTTCAAACAACGAGCAATAATATTTTAAATTTCAGTGATGTAATAATTCAACTACTCGAATTGGTTTTGAACAGATTATGGTTTACTGAACAAATTAATTAGAGACCAAAAAAATACTATTTGCTCACCTCGTGTTAAATTGTGTTTTACTGTTGTGTGCAAAAATTGTTAATTCTTCATTGACATATTTAAAATGATAAATAATTGGGTGGCAGACGTTAGTGTTGGCAATCTTATAAAATTATCATGTTTTTTGAATATCTAATTGGAGCATCTGCAGACCCGGTTAAACTTTACTTTGCTGTACTTCAGAATCGCTATATTTGTTTGGAAGATTCAAATTCCCATAGCGATTGTTCTCTTGTTTGACGCTGGCATCTGCACAGATTAATGTTTTTTACCGTTTTTCTTAATTTTTTTCTATAATTCTTTGTAACATCTACTTTCTCTTGAATAAAAATGTTACTGGGAAAACTGCTATTTTTTAAAAGTTCCATTAAATTACCAAGCCATCCACGGATGATAATAAGAAATTACCAGTTCATGAAATAGAGATAATAAATTTACCTCATTAGTGGTCTCTATTCGCTGTTTTTGACAACATACTTCCGGTGCATGAGCACCTTTGAGACTGAAACAACAAATCCCTGATTCATACTTTTCTGTACTCTGCGCCTTTTTTCGTCATTATTTCAAGATTCTTTTAGACTGTAATACCGAGTAGAATTTCGTTTTGCAGATTGCGATTGCAGTAAAGAATCAGAAGTCAAATGATGTCACAACTGGGTAGTTTTAAGAATAGAAAGCATTGGTGGAAGCAATAAAGATTTAAGCTTTGTTTTAATCCTCTCGCTTACTCACTCCCAAGAAACAGTTAGGTATAGAGCAAAGAGAAATGAGAGAAACTTTTAACTGCATTCTAAAAAACAACCAGATTTTTATTATTTCTAAATGAATATTATTTAAAACGATTCTTTTTGTATGTTACACAACAATTAAGGGTCTGTGAAATTACGGTTTGATAGAGTAAAACGTAAAGGATGTATTACATTTGCAACAATAATTTACCTTAACCGTTTTGAGACTTATCCTACAGCGAAATCACATTTTCTTTTCCATATGTATGTAGTAAAGACCAATTTGTAAATTGTATACCTTCTAATTGGGATGACCAAAAAAGTTAAAATCAGCTGTAATCTCTAACCGTAAAGAACATATTATTTCACTAACACTCACGTAAACGTTGGAACAAACATTGTTTTTCAAACGCAAAAAGTTTTTATGATCATGTATGTCTTTGCAGAAATCACGAAATTTTCCCTCAACAACGGCAAATCGGTAAAGCTGTCGTCTTATAATGGTGCAGTGCTGTTTTTGTTTCTTCTTTCTACACTGATAAATGACAAGATCTAGAACAAAAACTAATCCATTTATCTAAACTAATCAGTTTAAGGCTTAAAAAACGATAAGACGAAATCAGGTGTCATATAGCACAAAACGTTTCACGCAAACAAATTGATTTTCCATTAAAAACAAGTGGTTAAGCTGAACTAAATAACGCTTAAATATTGCTTTAGCAGTGAAACTCAGGACACCTATAGAAACTACGTCAGCAAATTTACAATATATTTAGGCACTCTTCAATATAAGATTACAACATCTGTTAATGATGATCATCTGCACCGTGGCGTTTTTTCTCTTCCTCTTAAAATTAATTGTTCTGCAATCACCGTCTTCCAAGCAACCACCGACTGTATCAAACGACCGGTTTTACCAAGTAGCTTTTACTACTCATCAAGCGATTAAAAGTATTACAATGTTTTTTTGTAAATATCTGCTGCACACACAAAATAAAAAAAAACAGCTTTAGTAAAAAAGCAAATTCACAGCAGTTTAAGGCTAAAATGCAGTTTCACTAGTTTTAGTAAACAGGATACCTTTTTACCAAAAGAGAGAAAATAAATTGGAACAAATAGTTCAAATGTAAGTGGTATTTCCTTCAGCTCTATGGCAGCATCACTTACACATGAATTTACCATTTAGAAGGTAATAGGCGAAAACAAATGGGTCGAGGAGTATCAAAAATGCTCCAGCCAAACAATTGACTCGATGAATGTCACTACCGTAAGCATTTTAGTCTGAATGCACTCCTGATAAAGCTTTTTCTCTTCTTTTTCTGAAAGCAGAAAAAAAGTATCCCACATAATTGCAGGTCTCAACAAAACTTAAAAGTGAGATGCTCAAATGTGAGAAATACATTCCAAGAGGGGCGCTAGACCCAAGGCCTCTTTTAAACGGCGGAGAGTTCAAATATGCCACTCCCCCCCAGCGCCCACTGCTTGTAATATAAAAGATTCTAATTTTAAACTTCTATTACACCCCGTTAACAATTTGAAAAACATGAAAAGTTTGAAGAAAGCTGACGGTTTCCACAAAAAAGCGACATCTTTTTGGGTACTGAAAATGCAATTCCCAAAAAAAGTTCAAACTTAAACAGCTCTATTTTAGGAAGGTGAAAGATGTTTGATAGTCGTGTTAGGAATAGGAAGGGAAGTGGGTGCTGAAATTAATCTTCGGAAAATATATCCAAGCAAATGCGAGTTTTTTGGTGCTGATCCATTTTCACAATACAATAAAAAGCTTTTTGAAAGTGTAAACGGAATATTTTTTCGAGCTGCAATTGGAATGGAACGAAAATTAAAAAAAGCGATACTTTTGACTGGTAAAGATTTATTGAAATAAATGTTTTTTCAAATCATTTCCACTAAAACTTCTACACTAAACACTGTTTTCTCTGCATATCGCGGAGTTTCAGACGCACTCACAGCAATGATTGAGCTTCTTTTCAATACTCTAATGCAAGTTTCTCAACCTATCTTCGTTTACAGATCGTGGATGGGAACCTTCGGAAATCCCACATGTTAGTCTGAAACACTTTATAACCAGGATTGTACGCGTTGGAAAGGTTCTCGACTGGCTTTCTATAGATATTGAAGGTGGAGAGGTACACATTTACCTTCCAAAATTTCATCTGAGCGACTGCACAACGCTTACAATAAGTTGCTAAAAAACTAAAAAATATTTTTCTACTCTTCATGCCCTAATGACTGCCAAATTGCTCCTAATTAGTACCCTTTTTATCCTAAAAAATTTCCACCACGAGTTTTCACACAGGCGCACAGGTGAAAAAACAACCGTTTTCGTGCAACTGTCTATAAATTTTTAAATTTTAGATAGATCTGTTTCCTACACTACTAAACGGAGGTCTTTTCGACGAACTCGACATGCACGTTTGCCAAATAAGCATGGAACTGCATTTTTCAATGGGAGAAGATAACGATGCTGCCAGCCTCAACTTCCTTCAAGCAGCAGCTAAAAGCAGAAGGTCGTGATAAGTCTGCTTCTGTCCCCTCATATCTATATTCCATTTAGTGAAAAAAATCCTCCCTTATTAGATGAGCACAAAGTAATGGTACGTTTAAAAAAACGACAATTTCTTCTCCTCCTACTAAATAACTCAAGCAAACTTCCAGATACCTCATCCTAAAGATAGATTATCCATACGAGACCAGGATTACATTCTACGCACTGAACGTAGAAAGTCCTCGATGTCTTCACCGTTATTGGGTAAATGGAGATAAAGCAGGCATTACTTCAATCTCTTAATTCATTTGTAAAGTTGAGAAATTCATAGATGGTTCTCAAATGGAGGTGGGCTGGTACCATTTGGAAACCAAGATTAAATCTTACGATTGGTGACTTGCCTTAAGTATATAAAAAGTACCTGTCAATAAGATTATCAAGTTCGTCACATTATCAAATTCATTTGTTTCCATGAAACTCTAAACCACTTCGTTACTAATATCATTCCGTCTGAATGTGGTAAAAAGTTATTATTATCAACTGCCATAAGGTTCTTTTTCAACGAAAATCAATACCAGAATTCGTATTTGTTTAAATGAGAAAATAAATTCTATATTTCGTCGATTAAAAAACATTTGCAACTACTTTTCCTTTACGTCGTACACGCGCCTGGTTATATAAATTGAACGCAAATAAATTTAATTCATAATAATTCTTTTAAAAACTTTAGCACTCTTGCTGACTGAGGGACACGCTAATTAGTTAGCTAGTTACTGATAGGAAAGTTGAGGAAGGGGACAGTGAGGAGGAGAGCAACAAACGAGGAGGGTAAGGCAAGAAACGGAAACGGAGAACGGCAAAGAGAAGGGGGCGACAGCGGCAAGGCAACCTCTACTCACTTATATACACTTTCCTGTATATCTCAAAACGCTCCCGTAGTTGCATCAATGTGGCGCAGCATTGCTTCCACTTTTCGTGCTACTGCTTCTGGTTTCCAATCCGTAACTGCGACTTTAAGCGACTTTAACACCGGAAAAAACTTCGAAAAAAAAATAAATAAATAAAAGCAAACGGTGCAATCAAAAACATGCCAGAATGGTCGGTATGAGATTATCAACCACAGTCTCCATTTTACTGATCCTGGGACTGGTGCTTACACAAACAGCATTTTCTCTATGACAGAAATTCAAGAAGTGACATCATTTAGGGTATGGGACGGAAAGGACATTGTTGTATTCGTGTATGGAGGAATTCGTATGAAAAAAACATCTGGGGGCAATGCGCTGTACCACCCCTGGCCGCAAATAGCGGAACACTATCTACCGCCCTAGGTTCCCTTTAAAAATGTGGGCTTCATTCATTGGCTCCTAAACGGTATGCTTCATGACAATCCAATTTTCGGAAAGTCCCTTGTATGAGGGGCGCTGATGCAGCTTCCCTTCCACATCTTCCGACCTGGGAGAAAAGCGAAATGAGAGTGTAAATGTAACATCAGTGTAAATGCTCAGCTACACGGAAAACACTCTTCTCTACCCCTAACGAGAACGAACCACCAGCCGAGGTACCAAAGCACCTACCACTGCACCTCACACCACTCGGTTCAATTACGGCCCCACAAACTGTTCTACGCTCCTCAGCAACCTCTCTCCATTGATGCTGCTAC